GAGATTACCAGGGTGGGTATGGAGAGAGAAGTGAGGAGGATCACACATAGGAATAACCACAGTGTTTATGGCAAGTAAGAGGAGAAAGGTAAGAGAGAACAAGGTTCTGAGGCCAAGGTGGAGTCATAAGGAGGTGGTAGTCAATAATATCAATTATTGCAGGAAAGTCAAAGAGAGTAAGTACCGAGAAAAAGCCATAAGATCTAGAACCAAAGGATCTTTGTGATCCTTCAAATTCTAGTTTCAACAGAATGGTAGAACTGAAGACAGAATACAAAGGTAAAGATCAAGTGAATGAGAATAAACCATACATTGGAAAATTTGGATGCTGAGAGGAAGGAGAGGAAAGAAACTCCAAGCTACATACAGACTACACACAGGACTATAACACAGATTTTTCATTGACAAAATAAGTTTTTAAAATTAAAGTGCTAAATGTTATACTTCTATTTCTTACCTGGCAAAGATGAATTCATACAACTCCAAATTTCAACCTAAAATTGTAATCAACAAAAAGTTTTTATGTAGATAACCGGTTCCTAAATATGACAATTAATTTCTACAGAAGTTATGGACAGCTAAAATGATTATGGTTGTGTCTATACAGTCGATGTTCTAGGACTATACGTACATCGACCAACTATTTAGGGAAGAAAAAAAAGCTGAGATACAAAAATATGCTTGTTCTTTCCCCATTTTTCCATCTAAGGAGGAATCTGATTACTCAGGATACTTACTGGAATCACTGTTTCCAAGCACACAGACAAAGTGTCTGCAGAGTAACTAAAGGATCATGTGTCAGTTACAACTATTTGATCATCAACTTTTCTTTTCCTTCACATAACACATGCCACAGTATCTAAAGAGGTTCTTTCAGGCTTTCTGGGCCTGACCCATAAGCACTCCAAACACTGAGGATAGCATAAGCATCAGAGATATTTTAAGTTACATAATTCAGACAGGCAAGCAATGTATCTATTATATGTCAGAAAACAAAAAGATAGGAATAACAAGAAGTCACATATCTCTCTTATCTCAAATTCAACTTTTCAAAATCAAAATAAATATGAGATTTAGTTATTATAGCTACTCAAAATACAATAATAAATAAAATTACAAATCCCAGATAAAATATTATAATAAAATTTAAAGATTGATATACATTTATATTTGACTGTTTTTAGACCTACCTCATAGGACAATAAAAGATGAAAGACAATATTTGATCTAGCAATCTGTGTAAAGATCTTTTTAAAGTAGCTAGTTAAACTTAACATTTTACTTTGACCACAAATCCCAATCACATTTAAAAATTGCTACATCTGAAAGTAACTGATTAGATGGCTTCATTTAGACAAAAGCTTCCACAGTCAAATTAAACAAAACTTACCATTGCTTCTGGACAATAATCTGGGGCTCGCTGCAATAGATGTTTTAGTCGGGATTCACTTTTTGAGGAGAAAATCTATTGGACCAAAAAAAAAAAAAAAAAGGATTTATGGAATTTTTTTTTCATAAGAAAGAAGGAAAAATGTTTTATCCTTTAGATTTATCAATTGCCTAGAATATTTTCAAACTTCCTTTTATAAATGGAAAACCTCTGAAAGGATCTAAATTAAGCTGAGGTAACATTTCTTAAAAGGTTGGTTAGTTTGGCAAATAATCAAGAAAGTACAAATACAGCAAGTCTAGACTCTTTTCTATTGAAAAACCAGGCTACCAACCTACCAACCTGTTGTGGGGGGGTAGGGAGAGACTGTGTGGAGGGGGGAGAAAAACAAAAAAGGAAGAAAAAAAGATAAATTTACCCTAAACTGTTTTATAAACTGCTTTTAGTTAACTAGTGATGATGAAAAATAGACTATGTCCTACCCTTGATGCTGGTAAAGAACAAATTTGTAAAAAGCATTATGGCACATAAGTTCTCCATAAATAGAGACAAAAGCCTTTTTTAAAATATACATGCTCAGGTGCTGACGAGGCTCACATACCAGGCTAAATGGCTAATTTCCAAATAGGATTTTAATTAATGCAGTAACAATTTGTGTCTCAGTAAATTATAAATCATTACATTTATCAGACAGACCATCATGGTTACCTGCAAATAGCTGAGACTGTAAAATCCACGAATGCTAAGGACAATGAAAAAGGATTTATCTACAGTTAGTTTATTTAGTATCCATTTTGCTCCAAAAATACCAATTACAACTAAGAAGTGAGAACAGCTAGAATATCACCATCCTGTAATTCCTAGTGAATAGTACATTTATTTAAGGCAGTTATCAGAGATGACTACTGACATTACAAAAAGAAACAACCAGACACAATATCATTTATGAGGAAGACTTGCCAAACAAACAAAATAAAAACAAAACCTTACCTGAATCTGATCAAGCCTCTGGATTTGTCTTATAAGGCAGCTGCTAGCCTTGTGTGACTATTTAAATTTAAACTTAAACCAATTAAAATTAAACAAAATGAAAAACTCAGTTCCTCATTCTCATTAATGTCATTTCAAGTGTTCACTTGGCATATGTGGCTAGCTGCTACCACTTTGGATTGCATAGGTATAGAATACTTTCTTCATCATAGAAAGTACTATTGGACAGCTATGCTCTAAATCTTACTACCAATTACTAAAAGTGTAGAGCAAAGAGGAACATGTTAAACAATACCATGGGTATGTGAACAGCAAAGTTTAAACTGGGGAAACCCTAAAAGATAAATGACTAAATTCATTCATCAAATAAATTACAAGGGGAAGCTCACAGATCAAAAGATATTTAAAAGATATACAACCAATTAGAATGCTTATATCTCACTTGGATCCTGATCCAAACTAAAAAAACCTTATGAAATAATTAAGAAATCTGAATAATAACTAGATATTTGGATATTACATATTTATTTATTTAAAAAGATGACCAGTAAGGGGATCTTAACCCTTGACTTGGTGTTGTCGGCACCACGCTCTCCCAAGTGAGCTAACCAGCCATCCCTATATAGGGATCCAAACCCGTGGCCTTGGTGTTATCAGCACCACACTCTCCCAAGTGAGCCATGGTCCAGCCCTTGAATATTACATTTTTAAAGAAGTGATAATGGTATTGTTTTTTGTTTTTTTTTTAAATGAGTCTTTATAATCCTTATTATACAAACTGAAAATTCGGGGATCAAATGATAAGACAGCTGGGATTTGCCTCAATATAAATTTGCCCCAATATAATGGGTGTGGTGGGAGGGGAGGAGTAGATGGGGGTATGAATGAAACATAATTGGCTATGACTTAATACACTGAAGCTCAATATGGGGGCTTGTATACTTTTCTTTCTATCTTTGTATAAATTTGAAATTTTTTACTATTAAAAAAATGGAAAATGATAACAATGAATGATAAGAAAGAATGAAAAAGAGCAACAGAAAGAAAGGAAGAAAGAAAGAAAAAGAAAGAAAGAAAGAAAGAAAGAAAGAAAGAAAGAAAGAAAGAAAGAAAGAAAGAAAGAAACAAAGAAAGAAACAAAGAAAGAAAGAAAGAAAGAAAGAAAGAAAGAAAGAAAGAAAGAAAGAAAGAAAGAAAGAAAGAAAGAAAGAAAGAAAGAAAGAAAGAAATGCAGGCAGGCATAATAAGCATATGACATTGGTAATGAAATGGGAAAAAGCACAGAGAAAGCTAAGCTTTCACAAATCCCCTCTTCTCTTGACTCCATCTCCCCACAAAAAACCGAATAAATAAAAAACAAAAAAAACCTAAAAAAGCAAAAAACCTACAAGGACTTGAAACAGCTTAGAACAATGGAAAGAACATGGAACTGAGAGTTGGAAATAATATATTTTGAGTAACTTTGGGCAACCTACTTGGCCTTACACGAGGTGGTTATTGACTGGTGGCTAAGAGTATAAACTTTGTAATCAGACAGATTTGGGTCTGAGCCCCTGCTCTTCAAGTCACTGGTTTGGGGTCCTCGGTAAGTTACCTTTTCTATCCCTCGATTTTCTTACCTATAAAATGCAGAAAATGACATTACCTCCTTTAAGTGCTTGGTATAAGAATTAAATGAAATAACACATGTAAAGGGGTATAGCAAAGGGTCTGGCAGATACGGAAAAAATGAAATAAAATTTAGCTCCCCAGATTCGAGTTACGTGAATAGCTAATAACCAACATTAAGAAGTTAGACAATGTATCAGGTCTCTTCTGTCTCTAAAATACAATTCTATAAAGTAGAGTGAATTAAACTGAGAAATATATACTTATTAGGAATACATTTAAGGAAGCCAACATGTATATACTTTTTTCAGATGATAAGATAGACTTGAATATAAGTAGTCACTTTTTTCACTAAACAACTGGTAATCACCTAAAAAGAAAGATGAACGCTTACCCAGAATATATACTAGAATATATGCCATGATTATACAAATCACCTCAGAGTGAAGAATTTAATAACCAAGACTGTACTCCATTCAAGGCAGAAATAATGCCATCTACAAGCCTTATAATCCTGAATTTTGAGGGTTTTTTTTTTACCCATATTTATCTCCTCCATCTGTTATAAATTCATTTCCCTTTGTCTTCAAACAAGCAAAGCCCTCTCATCTTGAAACAAATCTTTGTGTCCTGCACTGACTTACTGACTTTTCCAGCTTTTTCCTTTCATTGCATCCATTTCTTCACCAATCAACTCGCAAACATTGGTCAGCTTCCTTTAGCAAGGGCATGAGTACAACATGGATGAGTAAGATGCAATCCCTATATTCGAAGAATTTATAATATAGTTGGGAAGATGAGATATATATAAAAACTGAATACATTTTTATAAGTTTGAAAAATTACATAAATTTAAAATCTTTTTATTAAAAAACATTTTTAAATCCCTGCAGTATGACTTTTAGCCCCACCATTCCAGTCAATCTAGAAATATTTATTCAGAGTTCCAAGTGTTAGGCATTGTTCTATACACTGAGGGACTCAGCATAAACAAAGCAAACAGAAGTACCTGCTCTAGAATATCTCTGGTAACAGTCTTCTTTTTAAAAAAACTAAGAGTCTTTTCTCACATCTCAAACCCCTTAACTTTTCTTTGGCATCTGACATTGTTGATATAAATCATCACATTTATTTTATTGACTATTATAAACCACCAGCCCTGGCTTCTTATCTAAATTCAAATTCCAAAAGTTTTCATTCCAAATCTTCAACTGTCTTCACACAGTGGTTTTCACTGATAATTCAATGACTCACTTTCCTCCCCAAACCAAATCTTTTTCCCAACCTCCCTACAGCCATCAAGGGTATTACTATTCACCCCAACTCAAAACCTAAATGCCACCAGGGCTCCATCTTCTCTTCATTGCCCCCTGGTTGAAGAAATAATGATTCGTCACTCCTGGTATTTCCTTCCATTTGGAGTGAGTTCTACTAGTTTGAACAGCCCTGGTCTCTCTCCACACCCCTCACTCCTCACATGATTGGGATGACTAACTTAACTGACTGTTGAGTCTGGTAGGAGAAAGTGAGCATATGTAACCCAGCCCTTACCGCTCCTCCTCTTGGGAGTAGGTCTACTTCTGTCATTTATTGCGTGCCTGGAGATAAAAGGCACATTCAACATCTGTGTAACTAGTAATAAATGTAACACGTTGAGAGCTATCTGCCTTATTTCTCGATTAGTTAAGAACTTAGGGAAGAATGTTTTTTATTAGGGTGACTATAGTATTCAATTAATTTGCTAAGATTTTAAGAAATTAGACCTTGCCTGCTGCAGATGTCTTATTACAAAACACCTCTTAAAAATCATTCACCCTAGGGAATACCAGTGGAAAAAGTAAAAACAAAGTGAAAAGTCAGGAAAGCAGTGCTTCCAAAAGTATCAGAGCTACTTTAAAAGTTTCCTTATTATGGCCATTTTTGCTTTTAAAAGCTGTTATTCTAGCAGTAAATTTGCAGAATACTTAATTTGCAATAATTTGACATATTGAATTCTCTAATAGTTATTTAGATGAGCTGAGTCATCTTTCATGTCTTAAAATCAGGGAGTATCTTGCAAAATCTAAGTCCACAGTATTGTTTGAGAGAAATTACAGTCTCAGTTAAGTAGCTTTCCCAGTCTTTGAACATGACAAAATAAAATTATTACTTAAAAATTCCTCCAAAAGATGACTGAGACCATTATTTCTCAAGTGCCATGTCTTGAACTACACAACCAAGATGATGAAAGAAAGGTAGGACATTACAAACAGGTATTACTTCAGTGGAGCTTGCATTAAAAAGGCTCACCCAGAAAAATCCAAACAACAGAGAAGTTTTAATAGTACAATGAACACCCACATAGTCTTCACCAAGATTCACCCATTATTAACATTTTGCAAACTTCGCTTTAACTCCACATATACACATATTATTACTACTACTATTTTGATTAATAATTTTAGAATTCATTGATTCATTTGTTCCTAAATCCTACCATGTTATCTCCTAAGAACAAGGACACCATCATACCTAATCACAATACAATGACCAGATTCAGGATCACAGTATTGATACACTATTAAGAGGGTGCTTCAAAAAGTTCTTGGAAAAATAGAATTAAAAGATAATACTAATCTTTCCATGAACTATTTGAAATACCCTCATATTAGTTAATATCCAATCCATGTTCAAATCTCACAAATCTATCCCAATAATGTCCTTTATAGCAATTTTTTTCACTCCAGGATCCAATCCAGGATTATGCATTGCATTTAGCTGTCACGTCATTTAGCTTCCTTTAATCTGGAATAGTTTGTTAGCCTTTTTTCGTTTTTGTAACTGATATTTTTTGAAGAGTACAGGCTGGTCTTTTGAGGAATATCCCTCAATCTGGGTTTGCCTGATTGTTTCTTCATGATTCAGGTTATGCATTTTTAGCAGGAATCCTATATAAGATACTGTGTTCCTTCTTAGTGCATCATATCAGCAGACACATGTCAGTTTGTCCCATTATTGGTGATGGGAACTCTGATCACTTGGTTAGGGTACTGTCTAACAGATTTCTCCAAACAATTATACAGTCATGCACAATGTTTAGGTCAATGGTCAACTATGGACCACATATACAACCGTGGTCAGAGCAATAGGCTATACCATACAGCCTAGGTGTGTAGTAGGCCATACCATCTAAATTTATGTAAGTACTCTCTATGATGTTTGCACAACAATGAAATTGCCTAACAATGCATTTCTCAGAACATATCCCTATCGTTAAGCAACACGTGACTATATTTTACAAACAGTTACATAACTAACAGCCTCAACAATTATTATGCAAGCTTACCTGTTCACATACATCACGGCACATTTGGTTGTCCTTTGAATGATTACAACACAATGCACCTAGGGAGAAAAAATACATATCTGATGTTCCACTGTTAAATAAACAAGATGACTAAGCTAATTCAGATGGTTACACAAACCGTTTATTCAATAGATTATTATTATTACTTATCTTAACTCAACAAACTTTACTGAGCACCTATTACAAGCAAACGATAGTGCTAGATTTGAGGACATGGTGCCTGTTCTCAAGAAGCTTTCAGTCTAAAAGGGGAGACTGCATTTAATATTAATAGCTAGTATTATTGTATGCTTTCTATGTGGCAGAATTTTACTGTTTGTTTTATGCATTACTTTATTCAATCCTTAAAATTACCCAATGGACTAGATTCTATTGTTACACCTATAATACAAATGCAAATGACAAAAGTTGGCGAATTTTGTTTTGGACCTGTTGAATTTGAGGTTCCTGTAGGACATCCAGATGGAAATTCCAGTAAAATCAGAAATTCAAGCCTGGGGTGTATGTAAAGTCAAGCTTAAAGATCCAAATTTGGAAGTTATCAGCATAAAGGCGGTATAGGGACGTGAATGGTACTGTCTAGGGAGAGTTTCTAGTGAGAAGTGAATATAGCACTAGATTCTAAAGAACAGCAGCATCTGAGACTTAGGAAGAAACAGGGAAAGAGATTGAGATGGAACAATCAGAGACGGAAGTCAACCATGAGAGGCATCACAGGAGAAGGAATAGTTAGTGTCATGCACAACAAGAGTCAAGTTAGATTGAAGACTGGAAAAAGGAAATGAATTTACTAATTAGAAGGACACTTTGTGACCTTCACATGTGCTTTCTGTAGAGCTGGTAGGAGTGAATGATATTAAGGAGTAAACCAGAGGTGAGAAAATACAGGAAGCAAATATAGATTCTCAAGAAGTCTGACAGTGATGGAAAGGATATAGAGAGTGGCAGTCATAGGAGGATGCAAAATCACAGGAAGAATTTCTCCCCTTTTTTAGAGTGGTAAAGATGAGTTTCTTTATAGACAGAAGGAAACGGTAGAGAGCTAATGCTCCTCTGAGAGAACAACGTCTCAAGAGGAGTTCAAAGAAGATGAAATCAATGTATATGTGAAGGCACTATCCTTGGAAATAAGCAGGGAATAACTTTTCCTCCAAGATATTTATTAACTTAAAAAATATTTTATGAGGGGCCGGCCCAGTGGCGCACTGCTACAGTGTGCTGCTTGGGAAGCGCGGCAGCGCTCCCGCCAAGGGTTCGGATCCCACATACAGACCGGCCGCTCACTGGCTGAGCAAGGTGCGGGAGCAACACCGAGGGTTGCGATCCCGTAGCCGGTCCTGGTCCGGTACGGGCGCGACACTGAGGGTTGCGATCCGTTGCCGGTCACGAAAAAAGACAAAAAAAAAAAATATTTTATGAGCAGGTTATCAAGTACCAGGAATTGATTCATTCACTCATTCGTTCAACAATCACAAGTCTCTGTCCTCATGGAAATTACAGAGACAGATATTAAACAAATAAACACACATACATATACACACATACATATATATGAGGGTACTTCAAAAAATTCATGGAAATATCCATATTATCTTTGAATTCCATTTTTCCATGAATTTGTGTGTGTGTGTGTGTGTGTGTGTGTGTGTGTGTGTACAGAGAGAGAGAGAAAGAGAGAGAGAAAGAGAAAGAGAGACTATATGAATACATGTATACAGCTGGATTGATCAGGGGCTGCTTAGGACTGGCAAGTCAAGACACAAGGTGAAAATATGACATTTCAGGCAGCTATATCTGATACAATGGTTTAAAATATATTTTTTAACAAGAGAGAGAGAAAGAGAAAGAGAGACTATATGAATACATGGATACAGCTGGATTGATCAGGGGCTGCTTAGGACTGGCAAGTCAAGACACAAAGTGAAAATATGACATTTCAGGCAGCTATATCTGATACAATGGTTTAAAATATATTTTTTAACCTACATATGTGTGTGTATATATATATGCAACATAATCCTCTCTTCAAATAAAATCCATACAATTTAATATATAAATTAGATAATAGCAGATTTTTTTGATTGAAAGTAGGATTGGTATTGGGGACCTCCTGTGTAACAATGATGTGCTCTTTTGAAGTGCTCTAGAAGTTGGCACTTTCTACTTTTCTACCATCCCCTAGCACAAAGGTCATATGAGGGCAGAAAATCCAGCTGATCATGAGCAAAGATAACTCAGGATAACATAAGGTCCTAATAAACACAGGATTAGCAAAAAGTAAACAACTAGGCAAACTAGTTGATTGGGCTTAGGGATTTTTGAAAAACAGTTTCTTGGAGCAAAGGTCCATTCAAAACAGAAACACAAAATGTGTTATAATTAATACCCCAGTAACAACAAAGGTTTTATTAAAAATTAAGTATAAAAGCCTATTGTTTTCTATTTAATGGTGGTAAAGATCAAATTTATAGTGGAGTGATCTCCAAAGTTAAATTTTTGAAATAATTATTTTTTCATTAAAACAAATCCCTCAAAAATTTGGAAAATAAGAAGAAAAAGAAAAATGATCTACATTCCCATTCTCCTGTCACAACCTCTGTTGACATTTTGGCCTATTTTTCTTCTTGTCTTTCCAAAAGCTTTTTCTGGTATTTCTGACAAAACGAGATGAAACAGGGCAGCCTGAAGTCTTTTGGTAATAACTCCTTTCCCCTTTCCAACCAAGCATTCCTCTGTAATAGTACATGTTCTCCCTCAAGAGGACTGCCACTCTCCATGAACAGGATGGGGGCAGGCCTCTACTTCATCAAGTTTTTATACCCTCTTCTTACCCTTAGCCATAATTGTACTAGTACACATTCTTCTTCCTTTGAAACAATAAAAACTGATTGGAGTCTTTAACATTGCTTTTTTTTCAAGAAATAAATGTCTACAAATAGACATCAATTCATATGCCTTCATTAAGGATTGGGGAGAAGAGTTCAAATGCAATTAATGTGGCAATTAAAGGTCTTTATCTTTTTTAGAGCAATTAAAATGGATTAATTGGGTCATTCTACTACTATGGTGCAAAAAAACTCTCTTAGGCCTAACGTTTTCTACAGGAGAAGACAATAAATTCTAGAAATGTTTTGGTTTTATAACTCAATTCTAATATGTTCTGCAAGAATAATAGTTTAAAACTCTAATTTTATAAAATGGAATTGAACAGATAAAAGTAAAATAGTTAAAAATAAAATGATACTGACATGATAAAAATAAAAAGCACAGGTTTTTTTTATTTTCTTTTAATGAGGATTCAAAAAATCCTCGTTAAAGATATCAGGATGAGTGTCATATCTTGCATTCTTATTCCCAGAGTCTGTGATTATAAAAATAATAAAAACCAAAAATTGATTACTAAAGGCTATGTTTTGGGGTTTAGGAAGGTATTCGTGTGGCCTAGAAATATGCAAGCAGAATTATCCAATAATTAGAAACATCAAGGTCTGGCTGCTGGTTTTGGCCACGTGTGTACTAAAGATAGGCAAGTAAGCAGGAAGCACATGCTCCAGCCACATGCAGAAAAATGCAACTTCTAAGGCCAACTAGTATTTAAAAAAACAAATACACACCCTAATCTAAAAATAAGAAATATCCATAGAATTATAAGATTTTTTGAAGTTAACAGGGATTTTGCTACAGAAGCTTCCCAAAAGCTATAATTCAAATTTGGCTAATGAAAAGCCATTCTTGTTTTCTTTTTAAACAAAATAAAGATTCCTTCTAATTAATGTCTTCCTAAAGAAACTAAAAGAGAATACATACATATATATGTATATCCCACACTATTGAGGGGAAAAAATAAATCTGAGCTAATACTTGGGAAAAGGCCATTCTAAATAAAAAAGATATATTAATTTTAAAATCTGGTCTTATTTTTATTATTTAAGTAAAATCTTATTTTTAATCAAATTTTTATTTTAAAAACAACCTGGAAAATGACAAGCACTTTAAAAACATTTAAATGACAACTGCAACTTTAATTTATAAAAACATTCATGCAATTGCCACATTTATCCCTTTAAAAATATATGTGTGTGTATATATCTATACAAAATATATTGTCAGCCAAGGGTGAGCCAAATAGTAAAATGATTACCCATATACGCACCACCTCTATTCAACATTGCTAACATCTTGTCATACTCCTCTGTCTGCCTGTTGGTATGTATAGGCAGATATATATTTTGTTTATTTCTGAATTATCTGCAAGTTACAGATATACTTCTCCATTGCTTCCCTCATACTGCACTACTACAGCAGCCAATTATATTCATTCAATTCTAGTATCCATGACTGCCAGATTACTTTTTTTTAACAGACCTTTCATGATGTTACTCTTCTAATCAAGGGCCTACAATGGTTTCCTGTTATTCCAATTCTAAATTTTCCAAGTCTTTCTCTAGCCTTTCCTTCCCTAAACTTCTAACACTTTTAACAAGGAAAACCTACATTTACGTGGAACAGAGCCCTCTGCCTGAAATGCTTGGTGCCCCTTTCCTGCTGACTTAAATCCCAAATATCTTTCAAGGCTTAAATCCTATCTTAGCTCTTAGTAAGCCTTTCTTCTCTAACAACCCCAGGCCGTGTTGATTTTTTGGTTATTTAATACCCTACTATTCTAGTCAGAACTGGAAACTTTAACACTTAACTCTTTTCTAATCATTCATGTGAGTTCTTTTGGTATCCCCAGATTAACTATAAGCTTCTTGGTTCACTCAGCACAGGGCTCAGCTCAAAAATTTTTATTTGTTCATTAATAAGTAATAATATCCTAGTTATACAATGTCTTCTTAATAGGAAAAAAGTACAAAAAGTCTTATTTCTCTCACTGTACTACTTCAGTACCACATTTCATATGGTAACCCACCCATAATTTAGCAAACATCATGATTTTTTGGCTTAGGTCAAAAGATAAATTGGACCCAATCACACACTCAGGCAAGAGGTAAGCAGCTTCTGCAGTATAAGGTCAAGAAGAGCTGGGGCTGGGAAA